TAAGTAGATTGCTTCATATAATCTTTATAACAAATCTATGAAATATGTCCTTTTACGTCCATTCTAAAGATTAAAATACAGTGACTCGAAGAGATAATTTATACAAAGTCACATAACCCCTTAGGCTGGATCCAGGTTTCAAATACAGTGTTATCTTGAGTGAAAAAGCCATTCCTCTATGTTCTTTATGCTATACTGTGTGGTTTCTCCTCTAAGCCTAACTTTCTTTTTGCTAATGTAAGAACAGAAAATAGAGATGTGGAAATTCTTGTCCAAGTCCCCTGCCCCCGTCTCCTTTGCTTGTGGCCATTGCTTTGTTCTAGAGGAAAGAGGATAAACTTTGTTAGATGCCACTAACTCTGAATGGCAAGAAGAGAAATGAAATGGAGTGAGGCAAGAAAAATGACCTGACTTCAAAGAAGAAAGAGTTCTTAAGAGAAAGAGAGAGCTGCTTAGAGTCAACTGTGAATTCACAGCGCCCCCGCGGCTCCTGCCTCTGCTCTTGTGAAAGCCTGTGGCCGACATCTTTGCTTATTCGCACACTCCATATCCAATGAAGGTCCTAGAACGTTAGGATTTGGCCAGTGCTGCTGAATTTGAAGGCACCTGAATGAACAGTTGTGTTCCACTTCTGATGATTATTGCTGGGACTGAACTCTCTGATAGCAGAGTATGGAGACAGTTCGACGCTTCTAGCCAAAGTGGGCGAGAATGCTGGCAAGGCTGTGTGGACTCAAGAGACTTGACATGATTTAGAAATGATGGCCAAATGAAACAAAAACTGATATTTTATGAAAACAGTATTTCTGGGTAGAGAGAATATTTAACTTAACAAGAATGCTGCAGACCCTGCCCCTTAGCTCCTGGACCCTCATATAGTAGAACTACAGGAGCAAAAGATGATCTGTACTATCTTCCTAAGACTCCAAGGAGTAGCTTGGAGCATCTCGAGCAGAGGTTAGAAACTTCTGGTCCTTAGGCCAAATCTAGTCACAGAGGCATGTTGTGTGGTTCTTACAGCTTTAGCCTACACAGTGACTGGAATTTCAAGCCCTGGACAAATCCTCAAATCAAGCGACGGTGGGCTTTCATTTTTTCGGGCAATGAATTTGAATAGAGGTCCCCTCTATTAACATAGCATAGGCTTTCCAGTTTGCTCAATGCCTAGACCTCCCCCCGAGGTATTGAAGCTTTATTTATTTTTATCCTTGCCCTTATAGTGAGAATTCCCTTCCATGGAGTGAGAGCTGTCTGGCTCCCATATGAATCTGTGCTAGGGATGCCGGTGGGCATCTCATCAAAGCACTGGCAATAGAAAGTGAACCCTCATGTTGCTAGTTACTACAGAAAAGTTAACAGGAAAAAATAGCAGCTCAGAGCTCTTTTATTTTTTTTAAATAAAAGTTTCAAGTTATAGCTTTTTAAAAAAATACTCATTACTTCTATATTGCTATTTTTTCCCCTTTTCAGTAAAAAATAAAACAGTCTATTCAGTGGACACAAGCACATTTGAACCCCAACCTGTCAGCATCTTGTATATGTAAACTCTTCTGGACTTTGGGAACATTTTTTTAAATAGCTCAGTCCAAAACAAAACCAGTAAAAATGCAGCAATAAAAATCAAAAGATAGATAGATAGATAGATGATAGATAGATAGATAGATAGACGAATGATTTCAAAGAGGCTTTTATTAACTGCCCATTTAATTCAAGAAATTCCTAAATGAATAAAACAAAACAACAGAAGCAAAACCCAAAGTGCGCCTTTAGTCTTATGAGTTGAAGAAGGCCTTTTATGCAGAGTAGAGTTTTGTTTGGATAATGGGCAGTGGCAAGTATGGTTGGAAGACTGAGAAATAGAGTTTTCAGGCTTCTTTATTGGCTACCAAATAATTCTTATGACGGTTAGACTTTATAGGGATCAAATGAGTAATATCTACATGAAGCAATCCAATCACTCATCATTTATCACCCCTCCAATGGGACAGTTTCAGTATGTATAGATCTGTGGTGTGTATGGGTTTCACTATATGAAATGCAATGACTCATGCACTGGTTTGGTTTTTCCCAAGAAATATTGGACCTGGTGACAGTGTTTAAGGAGTTACCTGAATATGACTGAGACAATAAAAAACATTTTACAGAATAATAAAACACTAAATATTGGTAAGTGTTGATATTAACATTGGTAAATTTAGTATAGTGAAGGGCACCTGGGTGGCTCAGTTGGTTAAACAACTGCCTTCAGTTCAGGTCATGATCCTGGAATACCGGGATCAAGTCCTGCATCAGGCACCCTGTTCAGTGGGGAGTCTGCTTCTCCCTCTGACCCTCCGCCCTCTCATGTGTTCTCTCTCTCTCTCAAATAAATAAATAAATAAAAATCTTTAAAATAATAATAAAAATATTAGTATAATGATACTGGTAAATTTTATTTTTCATAGAAAATCCATTAATAAAAAAGGGGCTAATGTCTTTCTCAACTCCACCCTAAGGGACAGGTAAACAGATGAAGAAATTGAGTGTCCAAGAGTTTGTGACTTAACATCACATAACTAAAAAACAAGGATGTAGGAATACAGCTGAGGAATCCTGAATGATCTCAGGGTCTTTCCATGATATCTTACTGCATAAACATGAGGGAACAGAAAATCCTCTGGGCTGTTGGGTAGAAAAGAGATATGTACTGCCCAAGATAGGAGTTTAGTTTTTGTTTTCTGTGCCTGTTTGTAGATACAGAATATAGAGAAATACAAAGTGTCATTATTGCTGTTTTTACTTCTTCAGTATTGGGATATCTGTAAATTGGGTTGGACAGAACATTTCAGTTTAATGAAGATTTTCTGTTTTTATTAGGAGTCTGAGAGTTTCACTGATAAAATGGAGAATAGCTGCTCACTTCTGGGAAATAACCACAGCCCACAATCAAGCCTGATAAGAAATCTGAAAAGGAGTAACTTACTTTGAGCAAAGGTGTCATAAGCTCATCAGGTAGAGATGAGGCTACAACCAAGGAAGAGGGCAAGATGCATGCGTTTGAAGCAAATAAACTCCAGCTTTAAGATCCAGGGACAGATGCAGTCAATATCAATAAGTGGAGAGAAAGCTGTAGACTCTGAACAGATAAGCAAGCAAATGAGTGATGAAGTTAAAACACATTCATAAGGCAAGTAGAGGAAATGATCAAAGTAACCACCAAAGAACAGTAAAGTCTAGATCTAGCTTTTTTTTTTTTTTTTCCTTCCGGAGATATGTTGACATTGAAACCTTGCATCAGTATTTCCTAAAACTGTAGATCTCTTGAGTCAGACAATAAAGAATCATGGCAGTGGGTCTTCCAAAGAGAGATGCCATTGTGCAGGAGAGGAATTCAGTATGTCAAGAAAAGAAATGGAGCTAATGAGGAATGATGTAAACATGCCACCAGGGTTTTAGTAATGGAAATGCGAGTGCTTACTATTGCTAAGCCTCTAGTTCTTAATATGTAAAACTGAAATAATAATTCAAAATTCTGTTTTGAGAAATCAAAATATAATTAGCAAAATGCCTCAAAAGTAGGGAGGGCTAAATAAACTGTAGCTGTTATATTTTCCACACACGCTTTCCTAAGCTCTCCTGTATTGACAGAGGCATTTAAATAGAGGTGGTTTAAATAAGGAACAAATCATGACATACAGGAATAAAAGGATCTCGAAGTCTGGCAAGAACAGTTAAGGTAAAAAATTTGCCCAGCATTGCCTAGCTAATAGAGCTAAGCAAAAAACAGACCTGTTAGATTCCAAAGCTCCTGCATTTTCCTCTATCCCATTTTGCTTCTATAAATGAGATGATCTGTAAGCCACTGAAAGGTGATTAATTAGATTTAAAATTTCCTTCGCTTTCGAGTTTCCGATTTAAGCCGTAGTACCTCTGTCCCATTGGATGAAGGTGCTGTAAATGGCTGCAGTGGCAGAACATAACTGAAATGCAACTGTCCTTCTGTCCCTCCCTGAAGCAGTCAGAAGTGTGGGGTGAGGATGGTGATATAGAGCCCAGCACACTCTCACCAGGGATCTAGATCCCAGTTTCCCCCAGGCTGCCTTAAGCCACCAGCTGAGCATAAACTTGAACCCCCTCTGGTGAGGACACTTTGCATCAGACTTAGCCATCCAACTGCAGGTAGTAAAATTACTATTTCAAAGCCAGGGGAGAAGAGATGTTGGACATGCTGAAAAGGAATATATTTTTGGATTTTTTCCCCCACAATTGTGGGAATGATATGTGGGAGGAGAAAATATTCAAGTAAATATGGTATGGTGCTGAGCGTCTGTAATATGAGCCTGGTGTCTCAAGGGAAAATTCCTACATTTGTGGCCCCTGGGCAACAATTAACCCATTCTTATTCCACACTTCTTCCTCCCAGACTTGGCTGGAATCCCAGACAGAGGGCTTATCTAAACCCTCGTCTTCTTCCTCTGCCGCTCGCCTGCGGCTCGTGTGCTGCTTTGGTAGGGTAGCCCCTCGTCCCAGTTTCTGTCGCTGTGTTTGATCGTAGCCAATAGATTGGTGAGGACCAAGGAAGTGTGCACTGGTACATTTGAACTACTCCCGCCAATGTCAATAAGGAACAGCATAAAATTTCCCGGATACAGCCCAACTCAGCTTACTTTGCCTAGGAGTGTGAATTAAAGCCCGGGGTTTAATGACTGGTGAAAGTCCCTCGAGTCCCTGAGCTGTGTGTGCAGAGTCACACGTTAGAGCTGGGATCCCAGGGCGGTCGGTCGAGACTAGCAGGAGCGGCAAATGTGGTCAGTGGAAATGAACTCTCAGTTCAGCTCCGCAGCACGTGACTTCCTATTTCTGTAAGGTACTTCCAAGGGACTTCCTCTGTAAAAAAAAAATCAGCTTGAGTCCCGGGAGATTTCATTCAGCGCAGTCGCTAAGTTTACTTCCAACTCCGGACAGAAGTTTTCCCTGAGACACCGTGTTAGTTTCTTTTCTCTTTCCTCTGTCATTGCCAGCATGCAAGGATCTTGTGGCTCCCGTTCGTGATCGGAAGCTGAATACACTGGTGCAGATCTCAGTAATCCACCCCGCGGAGCAGGGTCTGACAAGATACTCAAGCACGGAAATTGTGGAGGTGAGTGAGCGTGCTGTGTGCCTGCCTTCCTCTGCCCTGCTGTTGCCTTCTCAGCCTCTCTCTGGATTTGAGGGAACAGCTGAAATAAGTTAGTCCATGGCCTGTAGCTATGCTGCGTTACTGTCCTCTGTCATTTAGGAAAGCATACCTGAGGTTATTAACCATGCATTGCGAACTTAGCAAAATAAACAGATGAGAGAAGAGCTTGCCTTTTTCATAAGAGACCTTATTTTCTTTAGTAAATAGGAAAAAAAAAAATCTCACTTTGAATCCTTAAATAGATCACCAAGCAGATGTAGATATAGATGTAGATATATATATTTTTTTATTTAAATGGAATGAATACTTATTTGGGAGGAATAAAAGAGTTGTAAAGTGCCCCCAGAGAAGTTAAGTGTTTTTGCACTTTTCATTTTTTCCTATGTTCTTCAGGCTGCCCATGGAAACTTTATATTCTTTGCTATTTGTGTGTGTCTTTTTAAAAGTACCGTGTTTTTCAAAGAACGGTAGATGATTAATTTGAGAAACTGTAATGTTTCTAGCTAAAGGGTGTAAATATTACTCATCAGATGAGAGATTTCCTATTTACATTTATTGTTACTAATATAACATTCAAAATGTGTCGGGAGGAAACTTGTTATTGTATTGGATCAGATTCAAAAGAGGAAGTGTTTCCCTTTTGATTATTTTGTTCTCATCACACAAATTTCACACACCTAGTGAACGAGAAATACGGGAACATCTGGGACTACAGAAAGTGTGCTTTAAACTCCTTAGCTTTGCGTGCTTTTTTTTCAGATTTGTAAGCCCTGTCTGTTTTGACGGGGGAGTTTCTCTGTAAGGAACTAAGCAGCCTACCCCAGACACCGGGTTTGCTCAGTGCTGGCCTGTGCCTGGCTGCTGGAATAAATGATTCAGACTAAACTCGACTCATTTCTCTAATGGGAATGACCCAGATCCTGCATGTAGCCTTGAATCTGCCCTTTGGAAACTTTAGGTTCCAATGCTGGTATAATTTGTAGTTAATGCTGTAGTTGAAATAACAAAAATAGTCCCATTCATATAGCGAAAACGACTAAAATTGTAAAAGTGTTCATTTATATGAAAAAAATTTCAAGTATTGTCCCAGTTTAGTTATTCTTAAAATATTGCCAAAACGTAAACGAAATGAGTTTGACACATTTCAGTTGTTTATGTTTGAACATACATAGCTGTTTTGGGCTAAAAGTTTTATTGACTGTTTTTCCAAAGTGTCTAACACAGAGCTGAACAAAAAAGTAGTATTTGTTGAAGAAAAGGAGAAAGAATGAATGACTAAATAACTTGGGCTTCCAGAAACTCATAGACACATGGTTTACGAAATTCTAGCAAACATCTCAATGATATTTGGCAATATTCATATTTAAATATAGATGTAAAATTTAGTGTTGGATGTCAGCTCTCTCAAAATGAAATCTGAGGCATTGAAATATCCTGTGCACTGCATCCTAATGCTAGTAATTATATAGCCCCAAATCCATCATATTTAGTTTCTTTCATTAGTTTTCAAATCGGTCTGAGAAAAAACACAGCTGAACACCTGAAAACAAATGGACATTATCAGAGCATGGCTTTCAGTTGAATCATTACAGAAAGGAAGTAAATGGTACTTTATGAGCAAACAGCTTCATTTTAATTTGATCAGTCAATATCTTAGATCATTTGTGTGAATTTCAGGTTAAATCCATTAGATCTATTCTCAATGGACTGACAACTGACCCGAATTAAGGATTCTGCATATAATGAAAATAAATTGTTTTTCCAGAGTATGAGCAGCTCTGACACTGTTGCAGTGCCATTTACTATCAGCAGCTCTATCAGTATTTGGGGCTCTGGGCCTTGCTGTCGCCCATGAGCATCATTCGGCAATTCAGATCGCTCTTCCAATAGAAACTATTTCCTAGAAAAACAAACAGACTCAGACACACTTTCTGCATTCTCATGTGTCCCTGCATGCTGCCAACTGCAGTTGCTGCTTTATTGAATCAAAGTGGTCTGCTTGTGCTGTTACAGGGAACAAGAGACCCGCTGTTTTTGACTGGTGTCACATTCCCATCTGAGTATCCCATCTATGAGGAGACCAAAATAAAGCTAACGGTCTATGATGTCAAGGATAAGTCTCATGACACTGTAAGTACTTGTACTTATTTCTCTTTTTTGGGGGTGGGGAGGGGAAGGAGTTATGCTTTTCCAAACTATTGGGTTTGGATATAACTGTCATTTTTCAAAGAGGGTGTTTATACTGTTTATGCTTGTCTTATGTTTATAGTTTGCTGAGGATCCCCATCCCTACCCCCACGCCTCCATGCCTCCACGCCCAATTCATTTGGCAATTGGTGAGGAGCAAAAGCTTTCAGAACAGATTTTTCTCTTTCTCAGGAAGGCTGGCTTGATCTCTTGGTTTACCTTTCAGTGGTTGTTTTAAGGAGTTGCTGAAGGAGTCATAGTGTGGGCATAAGGCAAGTGGAAGAGATGAACTTTATATACTGTTTTAAAACTTTCTAGATATTTTAACTATTCTAAAACAGGAGGTTGGTAAAGTGCTCTACTTTCACCCTTTATTCTGGACAAGACTGTGTAGAGAGACACTCCCTCTATTTTCCTGAAGTTGTTCTTGGCACCAAAGCAAACAGAGCGGGTAACGAGAAGCAGTGGCCACATGTTTTAATCGGCCTCCTTGCGTGGAGGTCATGTAAAGCCCCGGTGGGCTTTTGTCCTAAATTCTTCAGTCTTTCTACAGGGTCTGACTTTTCTTCTACCTGAATCAGACTTCTGGTTAGTCAAGGACCTAGGCACTATCTCTAGAGGCCATTCTTAGAATTCCTGGACAGAAGAGAATGCTGTTGGGTAGGTGCTGGGAAGGGGATGGCTTAAAAGGGGCCCTCCCCTTCAAATCTCTCCTGTCTGTTTACAAGGCAGGGAAGCTATGGCAGTGTTGATGATCAATAGTGAGGCACGTGCCAGGGAACACTTTGAAGGCAGGGAGGCCTTTAGGTTCCAGTAGAGTTCCTGTTGAAGCTAAGCGGTGCTACTGGACACAGAGAATCACCCATACCTCGTCTGGGGAAAACGTCACTTTAAACTCCGCCCTCATGTAGGTTATGGTTCAAATAGATAGTGGGAGGAGGGGATGCAACTGTGCAGGGGAGTAGTAAGCAGAGAAATGATTAGGATGATGTGAACTGTGGGATTTTCTGTTCCTCCAAGCACACGATCAAATTCAATTCCCCCAGCAATCCCAAAGCATAGACAGGACAGAATATGGCAAGGACAGAGTTTCTGTAACACTATGTTACAGAAATGAATGTTTCCCCTAAACTCTTGAGTTTGTGAAGTCCTTAGAAATGTCAGAGTTATGGGATGCCTGGGTGACTCAGTTGTTAAGCATCTGCCTTCAGCTCAGGTCATGTTCCCAGGGTCCTGGGATCGAGCCCCGCATCGGGCTCCCTGCTCAGCGGGAAGCCTGCTTCTCCCTCTCCCACTCCCCCTGCTTGTGTTCCCTCTCTCACTGTGTCTCTCTCTGTCAAATAAATAAATAAAATCTTAAAAAAAAAAAGAAATGTCAGAGTTAGAAATATGAAATACCTAAGATGTTTCTATCCCCTTTACTCTCCCTCATTTAAAATGTGCATGGATGTTAATGCTTTACGGATAGATAATTAGCTTACTCATTAATTATGCTTTTTGTTGGCTTCTATTCTGGAAGCTACTTATTTAAGGTCTTTTAAAGACTTCCTTCATCAGAGGTGTCATCACATAAAAGTATTGGATGAACCTGAATCCCTGCTATGAAATAAGACTTGTGAAATTTGAGCAGACTTAAGAGATGCAACCAGCTTTCATTTACTAAGAGCTGTTAATTAAGGCATAACCTCTTCCTTAAAATAACTAACAATTAGTCCTGGTGATGGAAGTGTAAATAAAAACACAGTTTATTAATATGCTAATAGCCCCCATGGACATACAGTCTTTATCATGCCCTTGTTCTCTCATTTCTTAAGATTTTCTTTGGGTTGGGGGGGGGGGGGGGGGGATGGGGAAGCAGGAAGTGGTTTTCAAGTACAGTTTATAATTGTGAGCACTTAACAACCTAAAAAAATTAAGATCATAGTACTTTTAAGGCCTAAGAAATGAGAATATGTATATGTGTTTTAGAAAATTAATGAATTATGTGTATGTATTTAAAAGTAGTTTAAATATTTGATCCTAGCAAAGCATTGATCATGTTAGGCTGACCCAGAACAATGAGATTTTTCTACTGACTGAAAACTAATGAGTTGAGTCAGATGACTAAGTTGCTTGCCCTTTCCTATTGAATTTATCATTATTTGGATTTCATCAGTCAAATAAATGTGTAACTTTGCCATTTCGTAATTATTTCCATACTTATGAATATTAGATATTTTTATTTTTATTTTATTTTTTAAAGATTTTATTTATTTATTAGAGAGAGAGAGAGAGACAGCTAGAGAGGGAACACAAATAGGCAGAGTGGGAGAGGGAGAAGCAGGCTCCTGGCCGAGCAGGGAGCCCGATGCGGGGCTTGATCCCAGGACCCTGGGATCATGACCTGAGCCGAAGGCAGATGCTTAAGGACTGAGCCACCCAGGCGCCCCAATATTAGATATTTTTAAAGAGAAATGATAACCTTTCATCTGTGCCCTTGATACAGCTATTATGTAACTGGTTGTTGTTCTTGTATTCCTCTAAACATTGGACCTAAGATTGATTATCTTACTTAATAACTTCAGCAGAAATGCAATTAATCATTGTAACCAAAGAGAAGAGTCTGTCCATTCAGAATGACTGTTGTTTCCTCCTACTACATCCTTCATCCTCCTCATTCACTGCAGTAAGTCTTGCACTGTGGCAGATGGATAATGCTTGGCAGGTGGGGAGGTGGGGTATGGTGGGTGACAAGGTCATTATTAAAATTGGAGTAGCCTTTTTACTATTTTCCTCATCATGAGAAAATTATCTGTTTTCTCAGAATGTGCGGCTCTAACATCCAGCTGTTTGGTGGGGACTTCAAAGCTTGAAATTGAAGCCTGTGGCTAGGATAGGAGAGCCCAAGTTCAAACAGTGAAGCTGGTATCTTCTAGATACATACTGGTTGTATGCTCTATTTTAAACTTCCTGGAAAATGAAACAACATAGACACAATTGTTTTTAGCACATAGCTCACAGTGTTCAGCCCTAGGGAATCAAGCTGGGACTATGGGTCTTTCATATGTTACAGAAAAAACTCAGAAGAAGTTGAAATTTACATAGGAGAAGAACATCACCATCAAACTTTGTCTTTTTCCCTTCCTCCCATGCAACCAGTGTCTTGGAAGATACTGAACAAGCTCTTTCAACACCACACTGAGGATAGCCCTCAATCTGCAAACATATAATTAGGTCACAAAATTGGGTTTGCTCATGGTAGAAATTTGAATTTCTGTGTTTTGCAGTAGTACACATTGCTTCATTTGTTCTTAGAGTAAATAAATGTTGCTGTATCCTCAACTTGTTAGATGTTCAGTTACAGGACAGAACCCTGTGTCTAGTAGATATGGAACATTTCTCAGGTGAGGATATATGTCCTAAGATATTTTTTACTGCCAGTTACTAGCAACTCTCCATTTGTACCTTTCAGAAAAAAGTGACCTTATCAAGATTGGATGTAAATTTATTACATTGTGTGAGTTATGTCCAAGGCAGTTTATTTCTAGCACAATTCCCTACATGGTTATAATACATTTTAAGACAGTTAAGTTTTTTGTGTTTTTCTATGGAAAAGAAAATCATTTACATTTAGTATACTCTGACTTGGTTTGATTTTCTACACTAACTTCTTAGAAGGTTAGGTCTAATTATACTTGTTGAGATACAAATTCTGTAAGCTTGCCTTCTCTTTGTAGAAGATACAGTACAGCTGATAAGGAAAAGAAACTGATACCATTGATCACTAAGCACATACCAAGCACTGTATTTAATTTGTTATACATGGTTTTTTCTTTAATCTCCAAAAAATTCTTTGAGGGAGGTATTACCTTGCCCATTTTAAAGGTGAAGAAATTGAGATTCTGAAAACTTAAGGAGGCCAAGTCAAAAATCGTTTCTTTTCTCCAGAGTACATACATTGTTAGGATTACCCTCATTTTCACTTACACATGGTGGTATTTTTACTTCAGCTGATGCTTTAAAAACATTCTTCAGTTGGATCTTCAAAATTGATTAATTGAGAAAAAAAATGTCAGTATGCCAGTATAGGGGAAAAATCAAATCCAAAATTTGTAAGCACTTAGATTAAGCATGTATAACTAATTGCAAATGTCTGAATAAGTTTTATGAAGTGGCCAACTAATATTAATGAAAGAATAGCTGTTATTACCTATTGTGAAATGGTTAAGTTTATGTCTTAGACTTCTGCTTTTGTCCACCTGGCCCTTTCCTTTTGTCTCTAGTGCATGGTCCTCTCAACTTGGTGGTTCACTTTGCCTTTTGTAATGCTCTGGTCTCTCTTGTAACATAATTTGCAAGGGGAGTTACCAATTCCGTATAGACGTAGTTCAGGGTTCTAAGATGTTGCTGCCCTTCACAAGTAATTTCACTTCCTTTCTATCTGTTGATGAATAGTATATATTTACAAAGAGCATATTTATATTTTATTGAGGCATAATTTACATATAACAAAATGGACAAATCTAAAGTGTTCAGTTCAATGAGTTTGATAGTTGCATATGGCCACATAAGCTCTTCCCGATGCAAGATATAGAACATTTCCATCATTGCAGACAGTTCCTTTGTGCCCCATTCTGGTCAATTGCCACTCCACATACTCTGAGGCAACCACTTTTCCACATATAACAACATGGATTTGTTTTGCTTGTTGAAGTTTATGTGAATAAAATCATATAATATGTGTTCTCTTGTGCCTGATATCTTTTGCTCAACGTATTTTTGAGGTTCATGTGTGTTGCTGAATGGTATTATTACTGAATGGTATTATGTTGTAGTGATACCACAGTTTATTCATTCTCTTATTTACATTTCTCTACATTTAATAACTTACAGCTTTTGACAACAATGAACTAAGTGTCTATGAACATTCGAGTACAAGTATTTGTGTGGATATTTGTTTTTAT